TTTGGCCATGGTCTCCACCAAGGCTGTATTTTACCCCCTCTTCTGTTTTTGTTGTACGTGGGTGGAATAGTCAGGCATAGCCAGTTTGATGAGCGTATCAGCGCATGATATGTAGAAACGCGACGGTTGTTGTTTGCAGATGACCTTGTATTGTTGGCTGCATCTTCTGAAGTTGATCTCTGGAATGGTTTGCAGCCGAGTGCGATGTGGTCGGAATGTGCATAAACGTGTGTAAGACAAAAAGCCTGGTGATCTCCTTCTCCAGTTCGCTCTGCAGACGGAAAAGTTATGCAACAATGGATACCTTAACATAGATAGGGGTGGCGTTTACTGGTAGGAGGAAAGTGGGAGAAAGAAGTCGACCGGTGAATTGGAATCGTTTTGCCTAAACTAACTCGAACCGTTGTGTTTGGGGCACAACTGTGACTGAAAAGCTAAGGTGCTTGTGTTTAAGACGATTTTTTTTATGATCATGCTTATCGTTGGCCATGGCTAAACATCTGCACCTCGGGTGGAAACGGCTGAAATTCGCTTTTTAAAACGAATCACGTGTCGACGAGGTCCAGAGTTTAGATTTCCGACAGAGAGCCCTGGTGTATAACCACTGCTTCTTCAGGCTAAGAGTGAGGTATGATGGTTTCGGCAGCTTTTGCAAGATGTCTTTGGATAGGAAAACGAAACAGCGACTACTTGCCCAACTGACCACCTGAAGACCCCTGGGCCGGTAAAGAATGATATGGGCAAATATCTCGAAGGACTCTACTTCAAACTCAGGGTTTTCTTCTGCTGAAGCTCGGACACTGACATAGAATCAGCAACGTTTAAGATATTGTCTGACACATCCTTTTCCGCGACCCGAAAGGATCTTGTCGAAACTGACACATTAATAGGACAGACAAAACACAAAGTGAGAATGAATGTGACAGAAAGAGAAAATTAGTACAGTACATCTTTCATCATTCGTCCTGCGTTTTCAGCACTGAACCGGGTGAGAGAAAAGATTCGCCGAATTATGCTGCACATCTTAAGTGTCTGCCCAGATAGCAACAAATGAATGCCAGGAGCACCCTCTATCGAAATACAGCGAGGAACGGAATTGTGTACCTATAGCTTAAGTTTTTCAGGACTGATACGCTGATTTTCGCAGTCTACACCCATTCTTGAGTGATGACCATTCCGGGTAACTACTGTGTACAGCCATTATTCTTCTGCACACGGTCAAACTTGAGCAAACCGGCATATAGCCGATAGGCATTAGTAAAAATGGGAATAAAATCGGAGTTTTGGAACAGACTAAGAATACCATGTATTGACTAATCAACGTCCACTAGAAATTTCCGGTTGTACTGCGCTGCATTTTCGGGAAAGTGCTCGTGATACTTTTCAAGGCAGGTGTTTTTCAACAAGTTTTTAAGAGGATCGGGGCATTCGTTTTCAATTAAATAAGGATTCAGGAAGTACTCCATCCAAAAGAAGATCCGCAGTGATCTCACTTTGAGAATGGCAAGCAACCTATTGCAAGGGTGAAGTGTTCTGTAGCTTATTTTCAAGTTTTCTTGAATAGCAAACTCTGTTTTCATTCCGGAATTGTGGCTGCTCTTGATGCATTTAGAATGTTTTGGGTAGTAAATAAATCTGGAACTAAACTATTTAAATACCGAAAAAAAATCTATTTAAATTAATATTTACAGATTTCAATCTACGGAGTAGATTCCTTTAAAACCTTCTGTTAAAAAACCATTTTAGTTTGAAAAGTAGTACGGACACTTTAAGAAATAACTTTAATAACGAACGTTTTTCTAAACGTTTATATTTTTAGGAGACGAAGAAAAAGCTTTTCAAAGTTCGTAATGCACAGTATTGAAGGAGTGCGATCATCAGAAAGTATCTTTTCAACACGTCACCAAAAGAGTAAAAGCTACTTCGCTATTTGAAATAAAAGAATTTATTAGAAGATATAATCAGTACATCCCGAATGACTTTCGTGTCTTTTTTAACTTTGTCTTGAACCTCTGCCTCATTTGTTAAATGAAAAATCTTTCTCTCAAATAAGATAGTCCGTACAAACGAAAAGTACTAGTATACGGATCCACATTCATTCTTTGAAGCTATTGCACTTAAATGGACTCTGTGTACTTGAACATCACTTCTCTTACTGTCTCGTGAGAAATACCAGTTAGCGAAGAATAAATGGTAGGCAAGTAAACAGCTGACAGGAACCGATTGCAGCTACGTTGTTTAATTTAACTGGTTGTTTATCGACTAAGATTGCCGTATCGGCCACGGAACTGTTTACAAATTGTTCATTTGGCCAAATGCGGTGATGGAAGTGGTCGACGTCATCCTCATCCGTACCTCAACGAATGACGTACAGTAAAGGCAATGCCGAGTTACACGACGACGGACAGATCGTAAGTTTGAAGATTTAGAAATTATTAGTCATAAACTGTGTGCTGCAACGGAGTCATGTGAGCTCTGTCTGTCACTGATTGTTGATCGTTCTTTCTGGCCCTGTTTTCTGAAGGGACTCGCGGCGATGACGGCGGTGATTCATTGACTTTCTAAAGCCATGATTATACAGTTTTAACTGCTGAGAAACGAATGACCAGTGCTCGATTCGGTGGTAAAATCGAGTAGAACGGAGAGGGTACAGAGGCGTAAGGTGAATGAATGAGTCATGAACCTGTCGTCGCCGTTACTTTTTGATCATCCGTGTCCTTATAACGAGGTCTTCCGCACAAATGCTCTTGCACGATGATTGTTCGACCGAAACTTCGTCGTGCGCCGTCACTGGCACATCCGGTAAGAAACCGCATTGCTCACTCGAAGGGCTGGGTTTCCTGTAGCTGCCGCTGCCTCTTAGCCTTGAGCCGTTACCGTGACAGACAGTGAAGCCCTCCAGCGACGACCTCGCCTTGACCATCGTCCGCAATCAACACACGAATGAACCATGGTTTGTGGCAGTGGCGAAGTCGACTGAAAGACATGCACAAGATCGATAGCTGTCTCAAATTGAAAACCTAGGATTTCTACGAGGACTACAGAGCCGACGGTTTATTTTGGTCGATTTGCTTCACGTCATCGATTTTCGTTGAGCAGAACGAGACTAAGTCGAAAACGGCGTTTTTTTTGCAGAAGGTGGACAGAATAACACGGTTGGTTGTTGATTTAGTTTCTTTTCTTTTACATACTCTAGCCGTAAAATGCGAATGATACACGAAGCTTTGGTTTAATGAAGAAAAGCACAGGCATGCCATAAAACTGCGGATGAAAGTTAAAAACTTCTGCCAGTCACAGATGAGGTTCACTTGCTTTATAAATTTGAAAAAAGGC